ATGGCTGAGATTTTGCTGACATATTTGGATAGTTCTGATTGCACCGACACATTTGTGTGGTCTAGAATGCATCACCATTTGTATAAATAGGGGTATTTTTTATAGAGAAAATACATCTCAAAAACATGTCTCTTCCTTAATTTCTGATTAAGGGAGAAGTGTATTACAAGGACAACAACCCTTTTGTTTAATTCAAGCTTCCAGATGGCTCCGAATCCTTTGCCATCTTGAAAGAAACATTGAATAATTTGCTGCCTGATTCCGATAGTAGAAGGGTGAAAAAGGTAGAGTTTCAAGAGGATTAGATTGATACAAATGGAATGGTGAAATATAACCTAATCGAGTTGAAGAATGATGAAGATGTGAAGGCCATGTGGAAATCATTTCGTCGTAGGATAACTAAAGGTCTGATCGAGTTGGATGCACAGATCCGAAGATCCGTTGACGATGTAATGAAGTGTCTGAAACATTCAGAATCATCTTGTAGTGCCTAGGTTTTCTTGTTTAGTTGTTTTTGGTTTATGTTTGTTGTATTGTTCTAGCATTTCACCAAAACATTATGCAATAAATAAGAAGTTTGTTTGTCACAAAATATACATAATACAACCAAAATAAAATAGATCTACATAGGCCCTCCACAGGTTACGTCGGCTAACCTAGCTATACCTTTATAGATCTCACCATCTAGGCTTACCAAACCCATGAGACCGTCAGCATGAACTGCAATAAACTGGAGCGACTGTCATAATATCCTACATGTGGTGGAGGTAGAGGTGATGGCTCGGTAGATGGGCTAGCACCAAAAGGCCCCAGAACATCAAATGCTGCAGTCGGTGGTATGACCCAAGGGTGTGACACACTGAAACCACTCCAGCTATCCATCCTCGTACTGCCCGGACTGCTGAACCTCAACGATTGTATCCATGATCTCACCAAAGTCCTCTAGCACCTCCAACTCAAAAACTTCCAAATCATCCATAACCATGCGCGCCATGTAAAAATGTACCAGAAATCGAAATATGAAAGAGGGCGTCCACATCATCTAAAGTCACTATCATCTCTCCAAATGAAAGATGGAAGGATGATGTCTCCGAGTGCCACCTCTCAACAAAAGCTGATAAAAGGGAGGTGTTTAGCATGGTCAAGGAGAAATCAGCAAACTTCAGGAGATGGAACTCGCTAATGATCCTCCTCACCTCCTCAGGCATGTGACTCTCAGGGAAGTTCTTCAACTTCGAACTATGAGAAGCAACCTTCAACACCGGACGCTCCTGTAAGAAGCAAAAACAAATTATTATACATCAAATCTTATAAGCAAAAATAAAATTATGCAATTAAACAAAACAAAAAATTTATACCTCGCCATGCCATATTCTATAACTGACATGGTTCGCAAATCCTGTCAACATGGACTTGTTTGAAGGTCCTCCAGGGAAACCTCCATCAGTGTGTATTGATGGCTCTGCAGACGCACGAGTTGTGGTATTTGTATCATTGGAGGACACCTCATCAATTCGCTCAACGACAACCTCCTGCTCAACCTTATGCACCACAGGATCCACAATGTACTCCTTAACTAACAACTCCACAATAGGAACGGGAGCTTGTACCTTCTCAGTAGGAGCCTGTACCTCCTCAGTAGGAGCCTGTACCTCCTCAATAGGAGTCTGTACCTTCTCCGTAGGAGTGTGTACATCCTCAACAGTGGATACTCTAAGGCCCTGACAACGGGGTGCACAGAACTCCACATTCTGCTCAGTCATCTGTTTCCGGTGAGAACCGGTCGGGGGACGGCGTCTAGCCCATAGCTCTGAAGCCCGCGTCTCGTCAGCACGAGCTTCAACATCAACTCTATCAGTGGTATGTTCCACAATAGGAACATCTATGCCCCTGGTCCTCACTGCAAAATAAGAAAATATAAGGAAAACAGAAACTACCAGAAATTTCTAAATTTCCGGTATTTTTAAAAAAAAATTTGAACTATCGAAAATTTCAAAATTTCCGGTATAAATGGAAATGAAAATACCGGATATTTTGAAATTTCTGGTACGAAATTGCCAGATATTTTGAAATTTTTGGTACAAAATATCGGAAATTTCACAAATCTATCGTAAATTCTCACTTGTTCGCAAAATTTCCGATATCGCCTTCGAAATTTCAGCATCGCCAAAAAAATTGAAAAATCAGATTTGTTACGTGAATTTGAAATTTGTGGTGAATGATTTGGGTCCGGGCAATTTGATCTTTTCATAAAATTTAGGGGATGTCATGTATAATGTGAAGGGTGAAAAAATAATTTCTCGTAGTTTGATAACTTGAAACAACCACGTCCATATATTTCCACTCAACTTTTAAATCACATCAAAACTTTAGTATTTTTCTACTCACTCTCTTTTTTTCTCTAAATTTTTAAAATCTCTTTTTTTATTCGTTGAGTTTGCAGATATTTTTTGAAATTTATTTTAGAAAATTAATTTCTTTTCTTTTAGAAAATTAATTTCTTTTCAATAAATTTTTATCAAACACTTATCATGATTGGCTTAACGACCATTACTTAAGAGTGTATTTTATAATTATGTCCAAAATAATGTACTATTGAACTAAACTATTTTATTTTAGATATTTTGTGATTGATAGTGTACTTATATAGTTTTTGATCGATGTGATAAATAAAATATCTTTAAAATAGCGTTTTAATACACAATTCAACGCATAAATATTTGATGGCCTAACCGTTTTAAAAACTTTTGAAATTAGAAAAAAACAATAATATATTTATGAGAAACGAACCCTCTAAAGTCAGAAGCCTAAAAATATAAGACAATTTCTCAATTGCACCCCCTCGTATTATAGGGTGCATATCTGAAAATCTAAAGATATTTTTGGATGAATTAGAAGATATATTTTTGAGCGTACACAATTTTATTTTTTATAAAAATTTAGTTTATAGAGATAGAACTCCAAATTCAACAAGGTTAATTCAAAGATATATCTTCGAAGATATTATTTATTCTAATTATCATCAATTTTTCAAAAAAAAAAACAGTTTCAGTTTCATCCAATAAATTATATATCCAATAAATATATATAAATGTCTAATAATAAATTAAATTAAAAATGGTTTCTCAACAAATAAATATTTATATATGTTCAAAAATAATTATTATTCTCTATACAAATGTCCAATAATAATTATTCATGTATAAATAAACTTTTATATAAACAATTAATCAACAAAATATATAATATAAAATTGTATGTCAATTAATTAAGAAGATATATAAAATTATAAATTTATACTATGTGAATTACATAATAATCAAGAATTATTTTCTATAATAATTATATGCATAGTTATTTTTTATAATTATTTCTTATATTAAAATTTTTTTAAATTATTTTCTATAATTAATTTTTTATAATTATTTCTATGATAATTAAATATGTATAATTATTATAGAAATCTTTTTTGGTATATAATTTATTGGACATTTATATATATTTATTGGGCATATAATTTAATTGATGAAATTGGAATAGTTTTTTTATAGAAATTGATGGTAATTGAAATATATAGTATTTTCGAAAATATATTTTTGTAGTGGTGTTTCAATTCAAACCGATCGAAATAAAAACGGTAAACCGATTCAAAAAAACTAAAAATAAATTCAATAATTATTAAATGTGTTTGAATGTCATTTTTTAAAATATCACTAGATTTGAATTGGATTTCAAATTGATTTTTCAAAACTAATTCAAATGAAACCGCTTGTATATATTTTAATATATATTTAGTTTTATATTTCTATAATATATTCTATTAATTTATTATTTGATGATACTTATTTTTATAAAATTATTTATTATTTTAATTTAATCTATTTATTTTTATTATTTCATTTGTTTTAACTTTAATTTATCATTTTTACTTTGTAATACTAATTTTTATATACTATATATTATATAGTATATTAAATCTATTATTTATTAATATTTTAAATTTTAATAAAAAACATAATTTGTAATTTGAATATTAAACAATTGATTCAAATTAAATTGTATAAAATTAAATTGGATCGAATTATATTATTTTAATTAATCATCCAAAACTAAATTAAATCGTGAGTAAATCTATCTTTGAATTAGATAAATTTTTACTTCAAAATCGATAACCAAATCGCGAATACTCCTACATCTCTGAATTAAACTTGGATAAATTCATAAATGTATTTTCAAATTAAAAATTTTAAAAAAGTAATATTTAATGTGTTTATAAATATATATCCAAAAATAAAAAAATAAAAATATTTTTAGAGTTTCACAAGGCATAAGGGTGGCTGAGAAATTTCCAAATATAATACTTGTACTCCAAGGTTATAAAACTTTGTTTTTTACAATAGGGTTGAAAAACTTTTAAACTTAATTAACTTTTTTTTTAACACTTTTAAACTTAACTTTTTAAATTTAAGAGATTTATAAATTCTTCTCCTACTCCTCTTAACATTCAAATTTGCACCAATTATCATATTAATTAATTCAATAAAGTTGTTGAACTTTGGAGAATAAACTAATAATACTCCAAAAACTAGAATCAAACATACAACACAATGAATTTAAAGTATCAAAGTCAAACAACACTTTGTTGACTACTTTTCTTTGTTGAATATATACACGATTATTAATTATTCCATACACATTATTAAAAACTATATATATTATATCCCTCACCATGTCCTCAACAAACAATATCGAAGTTTCCAATGGTAATGTTTCTTCCAAGTTCCTTACACGTCCTCACGAATCATTCAAACAAGACCCAAACCTTTTCAACACAACATAGTTGACGAAGACTCCAATGTTTTTTCCACAATTTCACATCTTATAATACACTTCTAGATGCAAATACTTGTCCCTTAGTTCAGAATCACATTACATATAAAACACCCATCATATATCCTCGTTACATAATTTTCCTTGTATTAATTTCTCCATAACAAAACATGATTACCCAAAACCAACGTTATTATAGCCATATTCTTGCTTTAGTAATATTAACACTAATTAGCATCACATTAACTTCAGTTTCAGCTCGTTTATTTCCTAATCCATCTGAAATTCCTACATGGATGTCTAACCACGCGCTACCAGGCGCGTGGGACGGTTACCGAAACTTCACCGGCTGTAGTCCAGGCAAAACATACGACGGACTCTCTAAACTCAAAAACTACTTTCAACATTTCGGTTACATCTCCAACGCGCCACCGTTAAACTTCACCGACGCCTTCGATGACGCCTTGGAATCTGCCGTACGCGCTTACCAGAAGAATTTCAACCTCAATATCACCGGCGAACTTGATAACACAACAATGAACTACATCGTCAAGCCACGTTGCGGGGTGGCTGATATCATCAACGGTACAACCTCCATGAACTCCGGCAAGTTCAATATCGCACACTACGCTTACTTCCCCGGCAGGCCACGGTGGCCGGCGGGAACAACAACCCTAACCTACGCATTCGATCCATCCGAGAATCTCGACGACGCAACGAAACAAGTATTCGCCAACGCGTTTAACAAATGGGCTAAGGTAACAACAATAACCTTCACCGAAACGACGTCGTATCGAGCAGCGGATATAAAAATAGGATTCTACAGCGGTGATCACGGAGACGGAGAACCATTTGACGGCGTATTAGGGACGTTAGCACACGCGTTTTCGCCAACTGACGGGAGGTTCCACTTAGATAAAGCGGAAGACTGGGTGGTTAACGGAGATGTAACGGAGTCATCTTTATCTAACGCTATTGATTTAGAATCCGTTGCGGTTCATGAAATAGGACATGTTTTAGGGTTAGGGCACTCGTCTATTGAAGAGGCTATTATGTATCCTACGATAACTTCTAGAACAAGGAAAGTTGAACTTGAGGAGGATGATATTCTTGGGATTCAGAATCTTTATGGTTCTAATCCGAATTTTACTGGGACTACTACTGCTACTACTTCGAGGGATAGAGATTCTAGTTATGGTGGTCGAAGACATGTGGTGTCGTTGTTTTTGTCTTTGGTGTTTGTTGGGTTTGGTTGTTTGAGTTTGTAGAGGAGAGGTTTCTGTTATTTTTATTTCTTAGGATTTAGTAGATAGTTTTATAAGGAAAATATACGATGATACTTGATAGATACGACTATGTTTGTATATAGGTTGTTATTTTCCGTTCAGTACTGTGTATTTCTATGTAGTATTATTCACATTCTTCATTCTTTTTTTGATAATTTATTGGAGTACAGAACTGCTATTGCCTATTGATAGTATTTAGGGCTGAATTATTTTTGGTTTTTAATTTTTTTTAATTTATATTCATAATTGTTAGTCTGTGATTTTCGACACGGTTAAATTCATTAGGTATGAATTGGAAGAGTCTCGGGATCAGATCCACAAGATTAAAATTATTCTCTCTTCAAAACAAGTTTTGATTCTCGTATATATTCTACAGTCGAACGGTGATTTCTGTTAGAAGGAGGAAGCAAATACTTTATAACTTTCTTATATCTTCTTATCAAATAGAATATAACATTGGTCTTTATATAGACACAAAAATTTCTACTATTCTAGGAAAATAAATAATATTAGTAAATGCTATTATAAGTCACTATCTTTTGGCCTTCCAACTACAATAGACTCTTAATCTTTTCACTAACTTATTAATAGAAAGCCACTAACTATAACATTTAAAGTTTATTCAACAAAACTCCTCTGTAAACTTAAATATTTCTTCTATCCATCATGCCTATCAATTTCTTGCCTCTGTCGAAAATTTCTTTCGATAATGATTTTGTGAAAATATCTACTGCTTGATCCTTGCTTGCTACATGCATCAATTCGACACTTCCTTCCTTCACATATTCTCGAATGAAGTGGAAGCGAACGTCAATGTGTTTGCTTCTTTCATGGTTTACTGGATTCTTTGCTAACTGAATTGCTAATTTGTTATCCACTTGCATTACAGTTGCACCTTCCTGTTTTAGCTCAATTTTGCTCTTCAATCTTCTAAGCCATACTGCATGACACACACATCAAGATGCTGCTACATATTCAGCTTCACATGTCGAAAGTGTTATTATCGGTTGCTTCTTAAAAAACCAAGTAAATGCGGTATTTCCCATGAAGAATACATATCCATAAGTACTTTTTCGATCGTCTATATCTCTGCACCAATCACTGTCAGAGTAACCAACCAACTTGTAGTTTTTTTTTTAATAAAACATTCCAAGTGACATTGTTCCTTGGATGTACCTTAGTATTCGTTTCAATGCCTTCCAATGTGAATATATTGGCTCCTCCATGAATCAACTTACAATGCCGACACTTAATGAAATGTCCGGCCTTGTACATGTGAGATAGCGAAGACTACCTACCAAGCTTCGATATTTGTTTACTTCGACATGTTCTCCTCCATCAAATTTCGACAACTTTGCGACTGGTTCCATTGGCGTCAAAGTTGGATTACAGCTTTCCATCTTATTTTTTTTCAAGATTTCTTTTGCATATTTTTCTTGTGAAATAAAGATTTATGTTTCTTCTTGTCGAATCTCCAGACCAAGAAAGAATCTTATCAGACCTAAGTCTGTCATTTCGAATTCACATGTCATGGTGCTCTTGAATTCTTCTATCATCTGATCATCACTTCCTAGAAAAATAAGGTCATCGACATAGAGAGCAACAAGTAATAAATCACTTCTATTTTTCTTCACATAGAGGGCATGTTCATACGGACATTGCTCGAACCCATTTTCCTTGAAATATGTGTCGATATGTATGTTCCATGCCCGCAGTGCTTGCTTCAGCCCATATAGCGCTTTCTTCAATTTCAACACCTTCTTCTCTTCTCCAATCCTCATATACCCAACTGGTTGTTCGACATAGACTTCTTCTTCGAGTACATCATTCAAAAATGTTGTCTTGACATCCATTTGAAATATTGGCCATTTGTATTGAGCAGCTCGAGAAATGAGCAATCAAATTGTCTCTATTATTGCAACAAGTGCAAATACTTCGTCATAGTCAATTTCTGCTTTCTGTCTGTATCCCTTTGCAACAAGTCGCACTTTGTATCGTTCTATTTCTCCTTGAGCATTCATCTTTTTCTTGAATACCCATATTACACCAATGGGTCGTCTGCCTTTTGGAAATTCGACTAGCTCTCAGGTGTTGTTGTAGTCTAATCTCTTCGTCTATTGCACTTTTCCACTTCTTGTCTCGTAATGCTTCTTCAAAACTAATGTTTTCAGCATCTTCCAGAAGGCATACAAGGTGTACCTCATTTTTCGAATCACACAAATCTTGCAAACTTCACATTCTGGGTTGTAGAGGTTCATCTTCATTTTCAGTATCTTCATGTTCTGTTGAAATGCTTGTTGGTACAACAGCAGATGATTCTTTGACTTCGTGGATAACTTCTGTCGACTTGTTCCAGTCCTATTTGCTCACTTTGTTTATTCGAATGTCTCTACTCACGATCACCTTCTTGCTTATGGGATCGAATAGCTTGTACCCTTTTGTCTTCTCATCATACCCAATGAATATTGTTGTACTCCAAAATTTTCCCTCCCATTTTTTCATTCAAGATACTATCCTAGGGTTTCTCAAATACTCAATTTGGCTCAGAAGTTGATCGAACAAATTCTCTTCCTAGGCAGTGAGTCAACAATTAGGGTTTGGTATTTTTCAAGAAAAATTGAGTTTCCAAAATTTCAAGTGGTCTTCATGGTTCTTCATGTATTCTCAAGGATGCTCGTGCCAAGTTTCAAACCCTGCATTGCAAGTTTACTCAGTTAATGGTTCAGATGACTGAAAATCAACTGCGTTGACCCAAAAATCGAACTTTGCGAGATCAAGTTTAAATAATTGTAACTTCTTCATTATTCAATATTTTTGAGCAGTTCTTTTTGCGTAGGACTCTCCTTGATGTCATCTTTAATTTCTATTCACGAGTCAAGAGCTGATTAGGTGCGAAGGATCATCAAAATTCGAATATTTTAGAGGTCGCTTCCTGGATTTTTGACCTAATCTAAATTAATTGTTACCTGACTTCCAAGAATCGTAATTTCCTCAATTTTTAAGATTTTTGAGACGATTACTCCCATGCATTGTCATAAGTGATGTCGTCTACAAGTTCTCTTCAAGAATCGAAGGAAAGCTGTGTTTGGAAGACTTTTAAAGTTATCAAATCATCACAAGTCACCTGTTTGATTTCGAATACTCCTAATTTTAATTCATACCATAATTGTTTTCTCAGGACCTTGTTTCTCATGTTGAAGTCGTTAATGTTACAAGATCGTTGAATATTCTTAAAACACATGTTTTGTTCGCGCAAGGGTTTGAATACGAGTTTGACAACTAATGTTCATTTGAGTTAGGTGCAACATACAAGTTTCATTTTGGGCATAAATTCTTGTGAAACCGTGAGATGATATACGAATGTTGAATTGAAACCAAGTTCAAGAAACATCCATACTATTTGATTCATTCATCTTCAAGTTACAACATTCATTCAAATTTCATTTGATCAAGATCCATTCCGAGGAAGTACCAATGCACCATTCATCATTTTTCAACTTTTATTTCACAAGTCCAAATTCGATTTCAAATGTGCAAAGTCGTAATTCATTCAAGATTCATTCTTCATTCGATTTCAAATCAATACATATTCATAATTCAAAAAATAATACAAAGTCAAGATGTTTTATCAAGTTCTTCTATAACAAATGTTCATTACAACTTCATGTTTACGAAGGAGTTTTCACTACTACAAGTTTTTGTCCATCAAAGCTCTTGAAGCATTATTGGCCTGGTCTTCAATCTCTTGTTTCCTAAGAGTTTCATCATGCTAAGCTTCACCATTCGATCGACTTGCCATTTTCCATACTGTCACATGAAACAAATCAAAGACAAGATTAGCAAGCATCATGAAAAATGTTCCAAGCAAGAATTAGTGATTAAAAAAAGATTTTTACCTCATCATTAAGATTTGCAATTGGAATCAGAAATTGAAAAAGGGTTTTGTTTCAATTATAAGCCATCTCCTCTTGTTTTGCAAATCACAAAAGGCTTTGGTTCATAAAAAGGGAAAAGAAATTCGCAATATTTCATTGTAAAAACAAAGTCAAAATTTTCAAATATACAAGCAAAAGCCAGCAAACTTCCAAACAATGCAACAACCCAAAACCAAGGCAAAAGCGTAAAGACAACAAAAACATCAGCGTAATAACTTAAAACAGCAGGGAAAAAGCGCAAAGAAGGAAAAACAGCAGCACAATAACTTAAAACAGCAGGGGAAAAGAGAAAAGAAGGCAAAATAGCAGCAATAAGTAAAACAAATAGCATAACACCAATTCATGAAAAAAAAACAGTGCAAACCTAGCCCTTATATCATCATTTTCCCTATACTGCAAATCCTTCAGAGATTGTGTAAAAAGCAAAAAAAATAGTTTGTATCATTGAAAGATAAAGAGGAAAGAGACGGGTTTAGAGAGATATCACTTAAACTAAAACAGTCCAAACAACCTGCACTAGCTGCCCAAAAACCTACACAAGTTGTCTAAAAAAAACAGCCCTATTGTCCACTGCTAAACTGTCAAAACAGTCCACAAAACTCTTTGCCCTAACCTGCCAAAATTCTGCTACAAAGCAGCCTGTAAAAACCAGAAGAAAAATTGTCAACTACGGTCCAAAATATTACACAAATTCAGCAAAGCATATCTGCATCAGAAAAGCACTAAAAATAGCATGTCATAAGTGTTCAAAATCATCATGTTCCCCCCGAAACCTTCATTCTCTTTTTGCTATAAAAGAGATAGAAACCACAGCTTATAGGGACCCTGTGATACGGTGGGAGAACTGACTTGAGGTTTTGCGTTTGTTTTCGCAAATGTTTCGGTTTAGCAAGAGTCGCCACCTACTTTTTATTTTATCCTAAGGAAAGGTTAAAAAGCACAGCAAAAACCTTTGAGATGTTTTCTTGGGTTCGGGGAGTAGATTATAGAAAGGGAAGGTATTAGCACCCTTTCTATCCATGGTTATCCATGGGCTCTTAGTTACTT